CCCTTGGACTCTGCCCCTTCACCTGTCTCCCCCGGCCTCATCCTTTGCTCTTCTTCCTAGATACTTGACTAGATTTATAGCTGTAAACCAAATCTACCCTTCCAGAAATAATGGAGTTACCCCAGATCTGCCACAAGGATCCCTTCTCTCCCACAGCTGCAGCAGAGGAAGGAAACCCAGTGGCGCAGTGGATTAAGCGCTGCACCACCAGACCAGGGTCAGCAGTTCAAACCTACCACCCACTCTACAGGCGAGAGATGAGGCTGTCTGCTTCTGGGAAGATTAGCAGGCTCAGGGGTGGGGCAGGGGAGGGCCGTTCTACTGCCCAGCGATGGACTCTGCAGCAGTGAGGCTGTCAGCGTGGTCACCTCCGTGAGTTTTGGTGTTGGGCAGCTGGTCACACTCAGAATTCCAGGGGATGGGGGATGAGGTTGAGCTCCTTTCCCCCTTGTGCCTCGTTTTCCCCGACTGTAAGTGGGAATGACAGTGGTCTAACACTCATCATGCTGTGCTCTGAAGGAGTGAAGGAGCTGAACTTGGGCTGGACAGAATTGCACAGTGGATGGGGCATGCGAGCCCCTTTCCAGCCTTCCGTAGGAGATGGGATGTATTTGTGCATTTTCACCATTTGCCATGGGGCCGGCACTGCACATGTCTCCAGCGTCATCGTAGTCCCAGCCACCCTCCAAGCACCCCACTGCGAGCTTTCTTGCGGACAAAAAGCCTGGGCTCTGAAATACAGGTGCCTGTGCCATGTCCCCAACCACCACACCTCCTTTCCAGTGCCTTCACGGTTGTGAGTTTATTTGGTTGAATGTTGCAAATGTGGATAGACCACACAGCATTTGCCACTCTGCCAGGTAAACAACTTAGTGACCTATCCACATGCATCCTGCGGGGCAAACCCGCCCTCACCACGGCCCAGTGCTCACCACCATCCACGTCGTTTCTCCTTGTAGAAGCGAAAGCGGGTTTGCGGGTTGAAAACCGATCCCCATCACAGCCCAGTGTCCTACAGGAAGTCCCAGTGGACCCTCTGGCAGTGTTTGTGGAACAGAGTTGAGCGATCTCACCATGGAGCCTCAGGCTGCCTCTGCCTTTCAAATTGGCTGTGATGGGGCTGGTTTTCCATACTGGTGGTGACATAACTTGACCACTAGCTGAGGGACAACAGCCAAAAGAGCATCTCTCAAGGACCGCCATGGCCAGTGCACCTCCCCGAAGAGGAACCAGCCTTCCAGGATGCTCTTCTGGCTCCCAGACCCCTATTCCCGTGGCTCTCTCGATTGCTGGCCATCCAGAAGGACACGATTTTCTTATCTCTGTCCTGCCCTCACCATCGCCGAGGCCCAGTTTTCTTCCTGTTCTGCTTGGGTGATCTGATCCCCTTAATACTCTCAGAGCTTAAAACCGAGCCTCCAACTCTGCAGCCAGGGGATAAATGCTCCGGAGTCTTCCGGCTGGGGAGACAAGCCCTGTAGGTCCCTCCCAACTTCTAGCCATTAGAGAACCAAAATTGGAAAATAGAGAGCGTGGCTGGGGAATCCTTCAGCAGCTGGAAGGCTGCGTTTACCCCCGTCTTATGACTTCCACTTTGCTACATCTTCTGCACACTTTCTTGTCCAGGCAGGCGGCAGGGGGTGGGGGAGTCAGGGTAGAAGGGGATCGTTGAGGTCGGGTACTTTCTCTAACTTCTCATGTCCCTGCCTTTTTAAGGAAGGAAACTTGGTGGCTGTGTTAAGTTGGGTTCTCCAGAGAAACAAAATCAGGGACACTTGTATGTGATCTAAGAGATTTAGATAAATGGTGGACACAGTTGTAGAAATAGCTAAGTCCAGTTCGGTTCAAGTGAGGCTTCTCCTGACTCATGGAAGCTGATGAACAGGAAGTATTTAATTAATATTAAATACTTAATATTTGAGGATTGGCTACAAGGAGATCAAGGAACCAGACCAGGATGATAGAGCCCAGACAGCTGAGGCACAGAGTGAATCCGTGTTTGGAACTCTGCCGATGGCTCGGGGATCAGCAGGCGATGCAATAAGATGCAAGATCCAGCTCCAGGAGAAGGCAAAGGGCCAAGTAGGATTCACCTCTCCGCGGTGTCTCCCTCTCACACAAAAGACTCACGGCATCAAAGAGGTGCCACCAGGCTGCAGCTTGAGTGACAGGTTTGCCTCCACCCCTAGCCATGAGTGTCCAGTTGACAAGATCCCTATCCCTCAGAGTGGTGCCCCAGTGAGGCAGTTGGGCAGCTCAACCTCACCTGGTGGTTTCTTGGGAGAGAGACTTGACGGTGCTCCCATCTGAGGACAGCGTAGAACACCCCCAGGGGAAGTTCTGCTCTGTCACGTGGGTCGCAGTGAACCAGGATTGACTCACCAGCACCCAACCCGAGAGTTCAACCTATTTTAGAGATGAGGGAGCCATCCTCTGTCCAAGGACAGTCACGTCAGCCTTTTAAATAATCATGTTCACCAGTGAAAGCAACATGAAAGCCACACATAGGATGTAGATCATGAGTGATAAGGAAAATCCCACTGCCATCAAGTTGGTTCTGACTCACAGCAATCCTGTGGGACAGAGTAGGACTGCTTCTTGGGGTTTCCAAGGATGTCAGCCTTCATAGGAGCAGACAGCTCCAGCATTCTCCTTCAGTGAGGAGTGGCTCATAGGTTTGAACTGCCAGCCTCATGGTTAGCAACGGCACACTTAACCCACTGCACCACCAGCGTCCCATATTTTTTCTATATCTAAACATATACACCTGTTACTTAATATTTGAGGATTAGCTACAAGCATCACATACTTTTATAAATACACAATTAGGGCTTTTCTAAAAGCAAGAACTTTTTTTACATAGCCAGTTCTGACTCATACCAACTCTATAAGACAGTATAGAACCAGCCTTTAGGGTTTCCAAGACTGTAACTCTTTATAGAAGCAGAGAGCCTGTTCTCTTTCCTATGACCAGTTGGTGGGCATGAACCACCAACCTTTGGGTTCACAGCCCAACACTTAGCCTACAGTGCCACCAACGTTCCATGAGGCACCGTCAGGGAAAAGAAGAAGAATGCTTCCATTGGGCAAGGTGCTAACTGGGAGGGAGGAGAGACAGCCATGTTCTGCACCATGATCAGTGGGGCGATTTCAAGGATGTATCATCTGCAGAACATAACTAGGCTCTCCCCAAAAGGTCAAGAAGCCTCAGTGGCACAAGAGTTAAATGAGTGGTTGCCAGCCTAAGGTTTAGTAGTTGAAGCCTACCAGCTGCTCCATCTCCCATCAGCATGGCAGCCGGGAAACCCCTGTGGGGACAGTTCTGCCATCCAGGGCCACTGTGAGTGGGAATTGACAGCTCACAACAGCAACAACACCCCTGGAAAGTCAGACACTTCATAGCTTATAAGTCATGCTGCTGTTGGGAGCTTTGAAGTCCATTCCTGTGACAGTAGAGCTGGCCTCGAGGACATGGGGCTGTCATCTTGGTGGGAACGGATCACCAGGTCTTTGCTGCTGTGGTTCAAACTCGGGTCCTTCCATTGAGCGTCGAGTGCTTCCTCATTGCACCAAAGAAAGAAGAGTCCTGTATCTATTGACATGGAAACGTAGTCACTCTGTGTGAAATGAGAAAAAGAAAGCAATTTGGGGAAGAGTTCCTATGGAATAATCATATGCTTTGGGTTAAAGCAAGCCAAGATCATTCGCTGCCTTATTGTCTCGGGCTGCTTCCGGGCAGCTGCCCCATAGTTGAGTGGTTGCCACAGAGACCCAATGGCCCATGAAGCCCAGACTATTTACTCTCTTGTTTTTACAGGAAAATTTTGACAGCCTGACCCCTCTCTTTTTTTCTGTCTGTCTGTCTGTCTCTCTCTCTATTAAAAAAAAATGTTTAAGCTTTTTTACCCTGCATTGGGTGGAGGTATACAGAGCAGATTAGTTTTCCATCCAATGATCCATATACATTTTGTTTCATCTCATGGATGACAACCCCCTCCATGTACTGATCCCACTGCCTCCCTGTGGTTCCTGTTTCTATCCCTTTCCTAAGCCTGAGAACCTTGTCTTTGGCTCGGGGTTGCCCTTTTCTTCTTAAGAGGTTGTTTGTTCTCAGGTGTTGACGCCTCACTGGTGTTATTGCTCCTCTCAGAGACCTGCTTACTGTTAGCTTGACTATTGAGCCAGGGAGGTGAGTTCATCTCCAGACATGAAGAAAGACTTAGCATCATCACTCGAGGGTGCCCCCAGTCTCTATCCAACCAACATGTCAGTCTCTTTGATGACCTAAGAGTATTGGTCCACATTTTCCTCCCCCTCTACCTCGGATCTTCTACTGTAACCCTTTTTTAGAACAGTGTGCAGTGGTAGCTGGGCACCATCTAGTTCTTCTGGTGTGCTTATCCAGATCTTAGGTGTGTACCCTAAAAAAGAAAAAGAAAAGAAAGACAGTCCACCACTGGTAAAGAGGGAGCCTTTAGGTTCTGGTATTATGTTGATTTTAATTGTATTGAATATTTCTATGTGGCTTGCTTATAAGCACGACTGTGTAATGTATTTAATCATCTAAATGAGCAGTAAAGGTGCTCCTTTTGGGGGGGCTGGCATTCCTCTTTAGTTCGTTTTTCCTCATCTCTACACAACCTCTAAACCCTCCTCTCTTAGCAGTCTGTTTTGTAACAATGCGAGCCTTCCTAAGTAGGCCGCTGTTCTCGGCTGCTCAGTGTTCAGAAGAAATACTTAGCAAACTAGCAAACTCAACCGTATACTCACTTGGGTATAGGATAATGCTTCGTGTCTTTATTTAGCTGCCTCTTGTAAGTTAGGAAGGAAAAAGTTCTGGCTTTTATCTCCTCATTAAAAATAGATCCTTTTATGACGAGGGGCTGGTGCAGCCATGAGTCATCACCTGCAGAGTGTGGTGCTGGGTCAGACCTCAGGAGCCTCTCCCTGAGATGGTACCCAGCCACCCCCCGTGACTCCCTGGTTTCTTGTCATTTCAGGAAGCTGGACGCTTTCATCTACGATGCGGCCGTCTTGAATTACAAGGCTGGGAGGGATGAAGGCTGCAAGCTGGTGACCATCGGGAGTGGGTACATCTTTGCCACGACTGGCTATGGAATTGCCCTGCAGAAAGGGTCCCCTTGGAAGAGGCAGATTGACCTGGCCCTGCTCCAGTTTGTGGGTGATGGTAAGACCTGGGGAGACCCTGCTTTCTTGGGGAGCCCCTCACACACACTGTTTTCTAGCTGGGGCCTTTGTGTGAGGGGTTTGCTCACTCATAGGACTGATCATTTCAGTGCCTGTTCTACAATACCATTGTTCTTTAGGGTACTTATCCAGGGAACCAAATCTGGAGTATTTAAATTGTAAAAAGAATGCACTTTAAGACTTTATAGAAGTAAATGTCACTTGGGGTTAAAGGAATAGGTTTAGAAAAATAGGGGGTAATACTGAGCCTTTCAAGAAAGAATTCTCTAGAAGAGCTCCCCTCTCTGGAGCATGGTTCTCCATTGGGGTGGAGGGTGATTTTGACCGCTGAGGGACATTTGACAATATACAGAGGCATTTTCAACCATCAACCCTATGGGCGGAGCATTTGGTTGCTACTGGCACCTGGTGGTTAGCAATCAGGGAGGCACATACATGGAGCACTCCTCTCACCCCCACAACCAAGAATTATTCCACCTCAAAGGTCAACCCTGTTGGTTAAGAAATCCTGTTTCTAAGCAAAGATGTTTATTGGCTACACCAAGTCTTGATCTGTCTTCTCTAAATTCTGAAGTTTAAATGTCAAAGAAAGGATCCCTGAGGCTTTGGGCCAGTTCTCCTTCCTAACCCATCATGGGCTTGATTGACCCTGGACTCCTTAACAGGTGGGCTCATGTTATACAAACTTCACTTACTCTCTCAATCATTCACCACTCGCTCATTCCCATTGAGTCAATGTCAATTCAAAGTGACCCTATAAGACAAGGTAGAACTGCCCCTGTGGGTTTCCAAGATGGACCTTCTTATGAGAGTAGAAGGCTTTGTCTTTCTCCCACTAACATGGCCGCTCCTGATATTTCCAATGGAGGAAGGAAACAGAATCCACTTCTAGAAAATGGACAGTGAACAGAATCCCCATGGGGTCACCCCTCGGCTGCCTCTCATGCACATTGGCAGTGTCTTCCCTTGTGGGGCTACTGTGTGATGGCGTCCTGGCCTGTTGGGCCATGACAGCTCATTGGGTTGGCTGTGTCTCCATCATAGTCCCTTCTCCTTCTGTCCGTCTGAATCTCAGGGCTGATGATTGCACCATCACCTGGACTTTCCTGACATGGTTTGGGGGGTCTTTCCCTGAGTCAAATGGCAGGACTACTCCCTTTGGATGAACAATACTAAGAGATTAAATGCAAAGTCGGCAACAAATGGAAGGTTAACCACTAAAACTTGCATATGTGGTAGTGCAGGGTACAAACACTCGGCGCCTAGGGCACAAGCTGGCTGGAGGCCCTATTCAGAGATGGTGGCAGCGTATGGCACATCTGCTTAAATATGGGAGAGGAGAGTGTATCATCCAATCAGGCCACAGGCAGTCAAAATGAGTGACCACGGTTCGTGTGAATCTGAGCAAAATGCACGGGACTGCTGAGGCACAATTACCACAGCACCCATCATCTTAGTCTTTGTTGACCTCAGACTGGGTCTTCCAAAATCTGGAGTTTAAAACCTTGTTTCCCTTGCAGCTTCATCCTCTCTATCTACTCCCTGGCTTAAACCCTGGATTCTCACGGTAGCATCAAGAATTCGAGATACATTTTATATTTAAATCCCAAACAAGGACATCTGATTCTTTGAATTCCCTGTAGGGTATTTGTACCTTCCTCAGATCACTGGCCATGTTACCAGCTGTGTTCTGGTGATTGGGGACTGTGCTGGTCAATGATTGCTGTGAAATCTTAGGGACATACACAGTGAGCATTTATTGTGCTCAGGAGACTGCAGGTTGATTGGAAAAGCTTTGCTTAAGATGTGGTGGCTCTCTAATTCCTGCTTCAAATCCAGGGGTCACCTGTGTGGGCTCTGCTTCGCATGTGTCTATTCGAGTTGCCAGACTGAAGGAGCAGCAGCTACCTGGGGAATTTCTCTCCTTAGCCATAACCGAAGGCAAAAACAGGCACACCTAGTTGCCCATGTACATTTCAAGTGTGTGCTTCATTACATCTGCTCAGTTCTTCTGTCCAAAGCAAGTCTGATGGTCAAGGCCAAAGTCAAAGGTTGGGGAAGGAGTTGCAGAGGGAGAGAGCAAGCCATGTGGTACAGAGAAGAGTGCAGGATTGAGCCATTTGTTCTGCCTACTCTGTTAGGTATTGTTGAGTTGGCCCTGGTTCATGGTGACCCCAAGCACAATGGAATTGGACTTGTGTGATCCATAGGGCTTCCACTGGCTGATTTTCAGAACGGGACGATCAGACCTGCCAGCCAAGTCAGCCTTGAGCTCCAGTCAGAATGGAAGCTCCACTGAATGCAGTTCAGCACCCTACCAACACCCGAGCCTCCACTGACAGGTGCACGGACCCGGAGTCAAACTCGGGTCTCTCGCACATGGAAGATGATGGAGAATTCTGCCATGGCACTCTCCCTGCTCCTTTGTTCTAGCTACTCCCTGTTTAAGACGGATTGCCATTGAGTTGATTCTCGCTTGTGGTGACTCCTGTGGGGCAGAGTAGAACTGCCCTCCATAGGATGTCCACAGGCTGCTTTCTTGGAAGTAGGCCCCAGTGCCTTTCTTCAGAGTCACTTCTGGGTGGCCTGGAACTTCCAACCTCTCAGTTAACAGCCGAGTTCATTACCCGATGGTACCACTGGAGACTCTAGTCTACCACAGCATGTCTACCCACTTCCACGTGGGTGAGTACCCAGCAAATGGAGACCTAGTTTCCTCAGGTGACTGGCACACAGCCCTGAACCTAATTGGGCACCAGCGGGTTGAATGAGTAAATGCAAGCGTGAATGCATGGTGGTGGGCTGTATTCCGTTTGACGGGAAGCTACCTGTGATGGGTGGTGGTCCAAGAAGTGAGTTCTAACTCTAGCCCTACCTACCTGACATTGCTTTCACCTTCTTAAACACCTCTTGCGAAACAACAAGCACATGTGGGAAGACCCACTGCCACCATGTCCGTTCCAATCCATAGCCAATTTACAGGACATTTAGAACTGGTCCATAGAATGATTCTTTGGGGTTTCCCAGACTGCACATGTTTATTGGAGCAGACGGCCTCATCTTGCTTCTGCACGGTGGCTTGTGGGTTTGAATGGGCACCTTTACAATTAGCCGTGCAGTGCTTCTCCCGCAGTATTACCATAGCACTTGGTGTGTGTGTGTGTGTGTACATTCATGACATATTGGGGCTTGAAAGCAATTGTTATTAATTTCCTTCTGTATTTTTATTCATCTGGAGAATTTTTCAAATGCATTTTGTGTAGCCTTTAATGCCCAACAACGAATATCTTTTTGCTAGACTTTTGTAGTAACTATTCATGAAGCAATGAAGGTGACCCTGAACTATATTCAATGAAGGAAAATGTATACATTTGAGTCCTATTCCAAAAGTTAAGCAGAGACTCTCTATTTAAATCTGACATCTGATTTGTTTAGGGTTTGTTTTGTTGTTGTTTGTTTGTGTGTGTTCGTTCTTTACCGAGCTTAAGAAGCTGTATGAAAATAAAGTCGAACCATTTGCTAAAGTCAAGAGTGTTTGTCACCCTACATGTGCTCTTGGTTTTCATCTTCACAACAATCTTTCCTGTTAAATACTGCTCACATCCCCATTTTACGGAGGAGGAAATTGAACCTCGGCAGACTTATGTGTTTTATGTAGAAAGTGAGCTGATATGTTGTAACTGGTAAGAGCCTTGCTCAGAGAAGTGGTCAATTAGGCAAGACTCCTTGTCGCTTTTAATTCTCTGAGATGTCTGTCAAAGCCAATTAATGAGGTGCTTAAGATTTATAGGACCTTCAGGAATGAACAATTTCTGTGTATCGAAACTAAATCTATTGTCCCGTTTGTGAATGCTTTTGTAATGGAGGACTCTTTCTTACCTTCAGTTTACTTGTCTATGAGTAGGCTCAATCATTCACCTGAAAAGGTTGTTGGGAGGTTGAAGTTAGAGAATACCTGTAAAGAGCCTAGCACAGCATGCAGGAACATAGAGATTACTCAGAAAATGTTAGCTGTCACTGCTGTTATCATCACCACCATCATCCTCACCATCACCGTCATCATCACCATCATCCTCATCACGATCTTCAACCCTCCTCACCATCACCACCACACCATCACCATCGTGATGACCACCAATGACACAATCACCAACACCAATAGTGCCATCATCACCATGACCACCAGCAGCCCATCACCGTTACTGCCATCATCATTACCACCACCATCACCATCACCACTGTCACTGTCTGCCATTATCATTTTCATAACCTCCATCGTTGCCATCACCACCGTTATCACTGTCACCCTCATGATCACATTACCACCATCACCATCATGACCGCCATCACTGCCATCATCCTCACCACCATCTTCACCATCATCAGCACCCAGTGTTCATGCACAACCCCAGTACCCAACAGCTTGGTCAGTGTTGTGTTGGCAGTAATTTGGCCAAGTCAGTATCATTGGAATAACCCTTGTGATGCCGGACAATTAGTTCCCCCTCTGTAGCAAATAGGGAAATTATTAAGCAAGTACATGCATATAGACCAGAGATTTGTACCTTGCACTCAAGAAGCATCTAGGTACTGCAGATACTTTCTGCCCTGACTCATTGCTTTTCTGGTCAGACTGTCAGGGCTGGGAAATGTGTCTTCTCAGCTTCATCTCGAGAGACCATCTGGAAGCAAAGCCATGGGAGAAGCCATGACGTCATTGCAGGGGGCGTCTTAAGATAATCTCCCCGGAAAGCCATGTCCAATTCTGAATGTCTCTCTAGGAGTAAATACATGAATTAACGCAGCTGCATAAATATTTCACTTATCTTATGCAGCTTCAGCAGGATTAATTATACTCTAAAATTAGACCTGTTAAAGAGCAGAGTGCCGAGCAGTACCTAATTATTATTCCTCTTCTAGAATGGAGTGTTTATCTCTTGTTATAGAGTAGCTTTGGTGGGTGATTACGAGTCTAATGAG